TGATTACTTTTAAAAGGAGTAATCAGTAATCAGTAATTTGATTACATTTTCAGAGTAACTTGCCCAACATTGTGTGTGACACTGAAAACTGGAGTAATGATACTGAAATTCTGCTTTTATCACAGGAACAGTTATTTTAAATGGTAAAAATCTTTCACAATATTACTGTTTTTTCTGTATTTTTTGATCAAATAAATGCAGCCTTGATGAGCAGAAGAGACTTCTTTTAAAACATTCAAAATCTTTCTGATCCCAAACTTTTGTGCGGCAGTAGAATATATATACATATACATACACATATATATGCATGTATATGTATATGTGTGTGTGTGTGTGTGTGTGTGTGTGTGTGTGTGTGTGTGTGTGTGCGTGTGTATGTCTCTCTTTTTGTGTGTGTGTGTGTGTGGGAATGAGTGCAGTGACTCATACAGGCAGCAGATTGAATCAAGAGGGAACAATAGATTTTGGCATGGATCAAAGAGACGGTATTACCTGTTTCCTGCCTCATTTTACCTTCTGTAGGCCACGACAGCAGCACTCTCGATTCTTCTTACATCCTCCTCACTAGCAAAACAACATCTCTCACAGAGAAGAAGGGCCACACTGCTGGGCCTCGGGCAGCTGGAGACTATTTTAAACTGAGATCCATGTTTCCTCTGGCCTCAGTGGACCTCCGCCTCTGCTTTTACTTCAGACGTCAAGTATCAGTTTTATGCAGCTCAACAGCATCAGTAAAGCACGGAGGAATATGAACAGACTCAAAGCAGCTCAATTAGATGTGGTATGTTTTTTTTTTTTTTTACACCGTTCACGCCTTCTGGGCTCCTTATCAGGGTTTAACAAATCTGCAGCCACAAGTGCCAAGTGTTTTTTTTTCTGAGATAAATGCTAATAGGTTTCAAACACTGTTTTGCATATGCTTGCTCTCAGGCTACACATTGGAAGAATCATCTTTTGTCCTTGACAAATCTGTTACTCTGTCTGCCTGTTTTTTTGTTTTTCCGGTCACATTTACTTTGTTTTGTGAATTTTTATGGTCAAAATCGATGGGTGTCTGTGCAATCGTGAATTTCACTCGAGGGCGAAAGATTTCCCAACATAGATTTTGCATAGGGTTCAAGTGATCATGTGAATTATCTGCATTGACCAACAGAAAGCTGTGACTGACCTGTGTTTCATACATTGCTACTCTACTGACAATGAATAATGGAAATTTTTTGGCAAACAAAATTTTGCTTAATGTCTTATTATGGGCAAAAAAGAATCCAGTAGTTATGTCTCTGCAAGAGGCACATTTTCTAATTTTCTTCAGAAAAAAATTCTTCTCATTCTGAAGATGTCACATACATTATTATGATTGATAATGGCAATATACTATCAAGACAGATTTTTCAGTATTTTTAAATTATGATGGATTACTGAGAATGAGATTCTGGAATAGAGTTTGTTTTAGAAATTAATTCAGAAATTGGCCCAGAAATTATAGACTGGTATAGGATCTTTGTTTAGAGTTTTTCCATCTGATAAATTTTTTTTCCAGAGTTATTCACATATTATACTAAATATAAGAGTTTGTTTAGATGTATTAACAAATATTGACAACAGGTGAAACGTTCCAGAAGAGAACTAAAATCCCTTTTAATCTGTTAACCAGCATAACATGTCATTCCAGTTTGTCCAGTTGGGTGACACTGGAGTTAGAGTAAAGTTGCTTTACATGTAATTTGAATACTGTGTCATCAAGCAGTTCTGTTTACACTCAACCGCT